ATTAATCAATTGAATATCGAGCTACAACAAGTCAATATCAAAGATTAAACTAAGAGAATCTCGTCTGTCGCTCGTCGTAGATCGTAGTTCGTCGTATCTAGGTTGTTCGTCGCTTGCTCGTCGAAGGAGAGAGAATAAGTAGCTATTAGGGTTTTTGTGTGTTTTTCTGAATGAATCTCTTGGTTCTAGGACCTCTTATTTATAGGTGTTCGTCGGTCCTAGTCCTTATCGAGTTGGGCTTTAACGTCGATCGTAACTTTCTATTTCCTACGTCGGTCGTCATTCCTAATTTCCTTAGAAGTGCATGTCGGTCCTTTATACAATTCCAAATAGGTTTAGGAAATTGTATAAAACCATTGGTCATTGCTAAACCGTTAACAAACATCGTCGGTCGTTGCCTTATCACGTCGATGTTAAGGCCTTTTAGACAATAGGAGGTAAGATCGACCTGGTCATCATGGTCGTCGGTCGACAATATTCCCAGCTTATAATAGAGTGTAAGGAGCGACCGGTTAGTGAATTTATTTCACCCAACAATCTTATAAACAGATATATATATATACATACAAAAATTGATACATCATATTTTTAATATTTTATAGTAAAAACTGTATGTAAATTTATTAGTCTTTCTAAAATTTAGTAAAAAAAAAATCATTTATACAGATCCGCTACGCGCGGCTATAAAACCTAGAAGTCAATGGCTATAAGCTATTAAGTAGGACTGGGCACAAGTACTTGATACTTGCTCAAAACCCATTATTTGCCCCGTACCCCGCCAAACCAAGTACTTGCCTTGTACAAGGCAAGTAACAAGTCGCTTTAATAAATTACTTGCAAGTACAAGGCAAGTATCAAATCTTAAAAAAAAAATCATTACCCGCCTTGTACAAATATTTGATATTTACAATTTTTTGTATTTTTTTACACATATAATGAAAAAATAAAAATTTTTCTTGTAAGTAAGAGATCCATTGTCATTAATTGCCAACAACAAGGGTTTTTAAAAACCTACATTATAAATATGAAAAAACTAATGGGCTTTAGCTAACTATAGCCCAAAATTGTGAAATAATTACTTTTATTTTTGTGTTTTTATAAGTTGCAACGCAAGGCAAGTACCCGCAAGTAATGAAAATATGAACAAGTACTTGAAGGAGCAAGTATTTAACAAGGCAAGGCAAGTCGCAAGTCGAAATTTCAAATATTTTCACAAGGGCAAGGTAAGTCGCAAGTACTTGCCCCGTGCCCACCCCTAATTAAGGGCGTCAATATTAGATTTTAAGACGCAATTTTATTGGTTCACATAATCATCAACTTCAAAATTAAGAAAGTTTCTAAATTTTAGACAACCAATAGTATGAGTCCACATCATCATATGATTTTATTGGTCCAAATAATCATCACCAAAATTAAATATTTTTCCAAATTTTAAACAACCAATAGTATCATTCCACATCATTATCTAAAATTATTATTTCATAGCATCACCAAAATTAATTAATTAAGTATTTACATGATTAAGAAAATTTACAATTTTTAAACATGTAAGAGATAAGGAAATTAAGTATATATGATTTTAATCAACCAATATTATCATTCCACATCATCACCAAAATTAATTAATTGTGTTTCTTTTCAAATTTTTTATTAATTAAATATTTATAAAATAAAGAAATTATATTTTCTAATAACAGCAAAAATAAAATAAAAAATTTAAATTAGTTATATTAAATTTTAAACAGCTAATATTATTAGTATACATAAGCTTATTTAATACTAAGAACTTTTTTAAAATTAAAATTTTTGTTAAGACAAGAATGAAATACATGAAACAAAAAAAAGAACACAAAGGGGAATAAAAAATAGTATAAGTATAGATGAGTGAAAAAGAAAAAAAAAACAAAGAAGAAATCAAAGTAGGAGAAATTGAAGATAATAAATAAAAGAAATTAAAAACATGGAAACAAGAGTGAAAAAGGAAATGAAACCAAATAAAAAACATAAAGAAGGAATAAAGAACAGCGATGACGACGAAAAGCATAAGCCAAATAAGAACAGAAAGGAGGAACAAAGAAATGCGAAGACGAAGAAGAGCATTACCGAAGATGAGTGAAGATAAATAAGAAACCAAATAAGAACAAAGAGGAATTCAAAGTAGGAAAAATTGAAGACGAATAAATAAAAGAAAATTTTTACCCCAAAAAAAGAAAAAAAAAAGAAAAAAAATTAAAAAACCTAGGAATAAGAGTGAAGCAGTAAATAATGAATAACGATGTGCGCTGATTAGCTTCTCTTCAAATAAATTTTATACCCCTAGAAATCTAAGCTAAATATTAGTATTACTTATCTATATATTATAATATTAACTTTTTGCTAGCTTAAATTTATTCAGATGTACATTTTTTTTGTTTTTAGTTTCGCTAGGTGTATCAGATAGTGAAAATTCATTCAACCTAAGATTAGAAATATTTATACTAAATATATTTACAAAAGATAGTTGTGAATAATTTAAAGTGAAGAACAACTGATATAGCCATATATTAACCCATTTTAGTATACTTTTACATGCATATTTACATTATCTAAGTCTCATTTGCATACATTTAAGTCCTAATATCTCTATCTATACACTTGCATCCTCTTTTGGCACTTGCATTGCATATACATTGCATTTTGAGTCTAAATCAGGTACTTTGGGAGCTTTGGAGCCAATTGGGAATATGGAGTGTTGGAGACGTCAAAAGAGAGCAAGCCAGGATGTCAACCAGGATCAGGAAACCCGATTCTCGCCTTGTAAGCTTTCCTTGACCAAGAAGGAGTTGACTTTAGTCAAGATACAAGCCACTAAGTGAAACGCGAGTTTTGGAGCTTAAATCTTGGGGAAGGAAAGAAGAAGGGTTTTAGAGTCTCCACTATATAAACTTAAAAGTCCTAAAATTTTAGGCATCTTGTAATTTGTCTTTCATTTTGCCACCAAGAAATACTCTCGTTTGAGATCTTAGACTTTGTAAGCTTGGATCTCTTTCTTTTAATCTAAATCACGTACTTGTTCTCTTTGTTCATTTCATCTTACTTACTTGTTTAACAACCTTTCCTCTATGGAATCGGTTTGTTAAACAGGATGAGTGAGTAGTCTTAGATTGTTTTAGGTGTTGCGGTTTTGAGAGTTTAAAGGGAGAGCTTTGCGTTTAAAGCTGACCTTTTAGAGCTTCTCCTGCTTAGTGCCCTTAAGGCTGGTCTTTTCTGATCATCTTGACTCAGATCTCAAGCTCTCTACACAGCAAAAGTGTGTTTGAGTGCTAGATAATCTAAGTCAAGGGATTTCTTTCCTAGCTCGCGATAGCGATTGTTTAGGGAGTTCTTTGGTGTTGGGATCTAAGCTTTAAGCTTGTTTGAGTGTTCACTGACGATAGTCAGTTCTTGAGCCTAGACCTTGCATTCAAGCTCATTCACGATAGTGATGAGTTTTTACTTCTGTTTTCCTTAGCCTAGAAGCTGGTCTTAGTCTCTAAGCCCAAAAGTCTCTCCTTTAGCTTGATTTTCAACGCAATCGCCTAAAGCCATCGCCTTTCTTCATTTCCTTTATAAAGTTCCAATCTTTTAGCTCAAAGTTCAAACCTTTGTCTTTGATTCTAGTTTGGACCGTTAATTTACTGTTCTAGTTCGTTATTTTACTGTTGAAACTTTCGGATTTCTTAAAAACCAATCTTTGTTCTTGACTTGAAGCTTTTCTTGCATTCTTTAAGACCCAATCTCTCTGATTTGGATTGATACCTTACTATCTGCAATGATATGAGCAGGGATGAAGGGTTTGAATCTATGAAAAATCATGTTTTCAAACTGGCGCCGTTGCCAATCTTAGAGATTTGATTGGGCTTTTTCGATTTGGAAAAATTTCAAGTTCAAGTTTTAATTTTTAAATCTTGTATCTAATCTGCCTGGGATTTGCTCTGCTTTGTATCAGGTGTATGCAAACACGCTCTCGTGGAAGTTCGAACTTGTTAAGTCCACACGAGCTTCAGCGAGCTGAGCGTGAGAAGCGAAACGCAGAGCAAGAAACAGAGCTGAAGAGAGTCGACTTCTGAGGTCGAGTTGCGAGAACCCGACTCTGATTCTGATACAATGGCAGACTAACGCCGGAGGAGCTCCTCCACCGGGAGTGAATCCACCACCAGGGGATTCCGGTTCATGCTCAACGTCCGGCGAGACAAATCGGAGCCGGCGACACACCAACATTCCAGCGAACCGCCCCGGACATTACCCCACCACCGGTCCCAACAACAACTTGACATCAAGACGAGCTTGATAAACTTGGTGGAGAATTCAATCTTTCATGGGATGAAAGATGAAGATCCTCTGAAGCACTGGAAAAGTTTGATAGAATATGTGCTTTGCAAAAGATCAACAATGTCACTGAGGATGCTTAACTGAGATTGTTCCCATTCTCTTGGGAGGAAAGCTCTAGCTTGGGAATCATCAATCCAACCTGGAACAGTCACGACATGGGAGCAATGCAAGCACGCTTTCTTGGCCAAATTCTTCCCCACTTCGAACAGCTCAGTTGGAAATGACATTGCGAGTTTCACTCAACTAACCGGTGAAACATTCTGAGGCATATGAGCGTTTCAAGGGATATCAAATGAAGTGTCCACATCATGGCTTCTCCAAAGAGAACCTACTAAGTACATTGTACAGAGGAGCCTAAGTACAAGATGCATTTGGATTCAGCTAGTAATGGTCACTTCATGGGAAAGGATGTGGATGAAGGTCTCATCCTTGGTGGAGAATGTTGCGCTTAGTGATGGAAACTATCCTGAGGAGTATGACCGAAGTGACAGAGGAAGCTCAGTCAATGAAGAAGCACAAGAAAGAGCTAAAGACCCTGAATGACAAGCTTGACAAGATCTTGACTGGCAGCAAAAGCAAGTTCACTTTGTTTGTGAAGATGATGTGAACCAAGAGGAGGAGGATCCACAAACTGAGGAAGTGTGCTACATATGAGCAACCAGGGAGGTTACTACAAGGGTTACAACACAAACAACAACACGAACCTCTCTTATCGCAGCACCAATGTGAGAATCCAAGATCAAGTGTATCCACCTCAACAAAACCAAAACCAAGGAGGACAACAAACCGTGTACTTCAAGCGAGGTTACCCACCAAAGGTTTTTGGTAATCAAATCAAGGCTCACTCAAGCTCAAGCAGGGCAGTAGCTCAGTCAAGACTCTGACATGAAGACAATGCTTCAACAACTTATCAAAGGGACAACTAGTGGAGCTACCGAGCTCAACACCAAGCTAGCCGAGATCAACAACAAAGTAGACTGCTCTTACAATGATCTCAACAAGAAGTTGGAATCATTGAACTCAAAGTTCAACACTTGGAAGCTAAGAGCCACAACATTCCATCTTTCTTCAAAGGGAATGCTTCCTGGAAAAGCAATTACCAAACCCCAAAGAGTATGTGCAAGCAATTACTCTTAAGAGTGGAGAGTTCTTCCGAGAGAGTTGGTACCATCAAGAAGCAATGAGGACATTGCGATTCAAGAGGAGGAGGAGTCAGTCGACATTGAAGCTGAAGAGAGAGTTGAGAAAGAATCAGTGGAACCAGAGCCTGAAGCAGAGAGAGAGCGCAGCAGAGCCATCAAAAACAACAAGAAGAGGAAGGGAAACTCTTTTTGTTCCTCCACCTTTCAAACCAATGCTGCCTTTTCCAACAAGGTTCAAGAAGCAAATGGCAGAAAATGCAAAAGTCTTTGATCAGCAAATGTCTGAGATCAATCTGAAGATCCCTTTTATAGACGCTCTCATGATGATCAAGCCTTATCAGAAATTTTTGAAAGATGCCATTTTGGAGAGAACCAAAGAAGTTTAAGGCATGGTGGTGCTATCTCAAGAGTGTAGTGCCTATAATTCAAAGCAAGGCAGTAACAAGAAGCTAGGAGATCCTGGAAGGTTCACTCTCCCCTGTTCCCTAGGACCATTAGCTTTCAAGAAGAGTTTGTGTGATTTGGGAGCAAGTGTGAGTATGCCTTTGACTGTGGCAAGGCGTTTGGGATTTGAAAAGTACAAGAGTGCCATTTCTCTCTGATCCTTGCTGATAGATCAGTTAAGCTCCCAATAGGCATGCTGGAAGACATGCCACTTAAGGTGGGAAACGTTATCGTCCAACTGACTTCGTGGTAGTAGAGATGGATGAAGAAGCCAAAGACCCATTGATTTTGGGAAGACCTTTCCTTGCCACTGCTGGAGCTATAATAGACGTGAGAAGAGGCAAGATTGAGCTGAATTTGGGTCAAGACTGCAAGATGGTGTTCAATGTAAAAGAGTTATGAAGCAACCAACCATCAATGGCGAGTCATTTTACATTGAAACACTTGAGCAGCTAGCCGATGACTATTTGGAGGACCTGAGTGTTGAGGATAAGCTACAGCTAGCTCTGACTAAGGATAACGAGGTATTTGGGTATCTACAAGCAGAGAGTATGGGTTATGCTTGGCTTATGGACTCACACAGAGCAGTAAAAGAAGACATGGGCTTTGAGGAGTTGGTCATCAGAAACAGAGAGCAATCCGGGATGATAATCGGGTTGAGAACCTGTTTGCTCTAGATTCTAAACCGAGAGAGGAGAGCTCTCAAGAGCAGAGCACAAACGATGACTGGTCCGAGCTAAAGGCTCCCAAGGTCGATCTTAAACCTCTCCCAAAGGGGCTCAGGTATGCGTTCTTAGGCCTAACTCCACATACCACATATCGCGTCATTGTCAATGATGCATTAACCCCTCATGAGCTTGAAACCCTCCTTGTTGAGCTGCGAAAGTATAGGAGAGCTCTTGGATATTCGCTGGACGATATCAAGGGTCTCTCCCCTAATCTATGCACTCACAGGATCCATCTTAAAAATGAATCAAAGGGGTCTATTGAACATCAGCGTAGGCTAAATCCCAGTCTTAAAGAAGTAGTAAAGAAAGAGATCTTAAAGCTTCTTGATGCAGGAATCATCTACCCTATTTCGGACAGTACTTGGGTTTCACCAGTACATTGCGTCCCGAAAAAGGGTGGGATTACTGTCATCAAGAACGAAAAGAATGAATTGATCCCAAGTAGGACAATAGTCGGACATAGAATGTGCATAGACTATCGTAAGTTAAACTCTGCATCAAGAAAATATCATTTCCCTTTACCATTCATCGACCAAATGCTTGAGAGATTGGCATGCCATCCATTTTATTGTTTCTTGGATGGCTATAGTGGTTTTTTCCAGGTTCCAATCCATCCAAACGACCAGAAAAAGACCACTTTTACATGTCCATACGGCACCTTCGCCTATCGGAGAATGCCGTTTGGATTATGTAATGCCCCAACAACGTTTCAAAGATGCATGCTTTCAATTTTTTCGGATTTAATAGAGGAAATGGTCGAGGTTTTCATGGAAGACTTCTCGGTCTATGGCTCTTCTTATTCCTCTTGTTTATCTAATTTGTGTAGGGTATAGTCCTCTTTCACCATAAAGTTGCACTTCTCCCAATTCAGAACCAAATCCGTTTCTTCACATCTTTCCAGCACCCTCAGACTTGTTCTTCTCGCTTGAGGGCAAGCAAGATTCAAGTTTGGGGGTGTTGATATAGCCATATATTAAACCATTTTAGTATACTTTTACATGCATATTTACATTATCAAAGTCTCATTTGCATACATATAAGTCTTAATATCTCCATCTATATATTTGCATCCTCTTTGGGACATGCATTGCATATACATTGCATTTTGAGTCTAAATCATGTACTTTTGGGAGCTTTGGGACCAATTGGGAGTATGGGGTGTTGGGGACGTTGAAAGAGCTCGCAGCCAGGATGCCAATCAGGATCAGGAAACCCGATTCTCGCCTTGTAAGCTTTCCTTGACCAAGAAAGAAGTTGACTTTAGTCAAGATAGACCAAGCCAAAGTGAAACACCGAGTTTTGGAGCTTAAATCTTGGGGAAAGAAAGAAGAATGGTTTTAGAGTCTCCACTATATAAACTTTTAAGTTCTAAATTTTTAGGCATCTTGTAATTTGTCTTTAATTTTTTCACCAAAAAATACTCTAGTTTGAGATCTTAGACTTTGTAAGGTTTCATTTCTTTCTCTTTAATAAAATCACGTACTCGTTTACTCTCTTCTGTATCTCATCTTGCTTGCTTGTTTAACAATCTTTCCTCTATGGGAATCGGTTTGTTAAATAGGATGAGTGAGTAGTCTTTTCGAATTGTTTTAGGTGTTGCGGTTTTGAGAGTTTTAAAGGAGAGCGTTGTGTTCAAAGCTGAGACCTTTTGGAGCTTCTCCTTGCTTAATGCCCTTAAGGCTGAATCTTTTCTGATCATCTTGACTCAGATCTCAAGTTCTCTACACAGCAAAAGTGTGTTTGAGTGCTAGATAATCTAAGTCAAGGGATTTGCTTTCCTAGCTCGCGATAGCGATAGTTTAGGGAGTTCTTTGGGGTTAGGATCTAAGCTTTCAGCTTGCTCGAGTCCGGGTTCACTGACGATAGTCAGTTCTTGAGCCTAGACCTTGCATTTAAGCTTCATTCACGATAGTGATGAGCTTTCCTCTTGTTTTCCTTAGCCTAGAAGCTCAGTCTTATTCTCTAAGCTCAAAGTCTCCTCCTTTAGCTCGATTTTCAACGCATCCACCTAAAGGAGTCGCCTTTCTTCATTTTATCTTATAAAGTTCCAATCTTTTAGCTCAAAGTTCAAATCTTTGTCTTTGATTCTAGTTTTGGACCATTAAATTACTGTTCTAGTTCGTTATTTTACTGTTGAGTATTCGGATTTCTTAAAAACCTTATCTTGTTTTTGACTTGAAGCTTTTCTTGTATTCTTATAAAACCCAATCTCTCTAGGATTTGGATTGACATATTTACTATGCTGCAATGATATGAGCAGGGATTGAAAGGTTTGAATCTATGAAAAATCCTGTTTTCAGCAACCAATACATAGAAGAAGAGAATCGGGAAGAACAAAATATAGGGAAATCTAGCATTTTTTATGGAAATAACTAATCATAGAATAATATGAACCAAGAAAAATAAAAATAAAAATAAAAGAAAAACAAAGACAAAGATAGCAATAAACGGAAAAAAAATCACATAATATAAGGCTAAATCAGAAAACCAAATAAAAATATGAAACCGAAGAATATGAAATTGAAAGTTATGCTTAACTACATTTTTATGACTCATAAATTGAATTATTATTATTGTACATTTCTAACTTAATTTTATTCCTATGAATAGTTTACATTTTAAAGGTTTGTTAAGTGTATCATATAGTGACAATTTTATTCTACATAAGATTAAATTTAACAGGAGAAAAAGAAAATAATTTCTAAAAAGGATAAAATCATAGAAGAAACAGAAGAACAATAAGCAATACGATCACAAAGAATAAGAAAGAACATACAAAAAAGAGTGAAGACAAAGATATTAAAGAACGAATATAAAAAATAAACAAAAGATGAACAAAGATAAAGAAGCAGACCAAATAACAGAATAAGAACCCGCGGGGACAAAGAAACATAAGAGAAAAATAGGGAAGAGTAAAGATGAAGAAGAAACTAAAGAAGAAAAAGAAACTGAATAAGGGAGAATAGACCAAAGAAAAAAAAATAAAGGACGAAAAATAATTAACATTCGGTCAACAATCACCATGGCCATACTACTGACAATAAAAATTTATGAATAAAAAAATATTTAATCAAACTATTAATAGATATTAATCAAAATATTTGCTTCAATGAAATCATAGAAGCTTTAAAACACACTCATAACTTTGCTTTCTGTAAATCTTTCGTTATATGATACACATAAAAGGATAAATACAAAACTGCGTTGTTGCTGTCTAATAATAGGGAAATATTATGTTATAGTGCAAGATACATATCTAAAATTTGAGTTCATTTTTGTGGAAATATTATGTTTAAAACTATATATAAAGTTTTGCCAAATCTATGAATATGTCGGAATTGTTACCAATAAGTTATAAAAGAGAGGAAATGAATGAGTGGTGGAAAATAAACTCGAGAAAGTAAAGAAATAATGGGTCGGAGAGAAAGCAAATTTTTTTTTTAAACAAGCTTTATAAATATAGAAAAACAAATCATACGAGAAAAAGCAACAATACCACCCGTGGATAGCGCATACTTTATCTTAGTTACAGTTTAAAACTTCCAAAAAATTCAAAGTTTATGTATTAAATTGGCTAGAAAAATTAGTCTGTGTTTTTTTTTTTATGAGATTGAGAAAAGTTGATAAATATTTCTTCCAAAAATAATTAAATTGGTGTATATTTCAGGGTTTTTCCCCTTTTTCCCCTTTTTTTTTTAGCAAAAATGAATTTTTGTATAAATCCTTCTTTCTCTGCGGCAGCCTCTAGAAAGACCTAAATCCCTAGATCTGAAAATTATCTTCCTCACCCTCGAAAACGTATCGCAGTCGCATCTTCTCATCTTCTCCATGGAGGGATCCGCCGCCAAAGTAATATCTTCTTCGATCCTTATGGCCTTTGTTAATCTCTGTTTCTGAATTTGAAATATCTGACTAGATCTTGTGTACCTTAGGGTGTGGAATTGAACGATTGTGATGCCGACAATCGAAAAAGCAGGTAAAAATTGATATATATTTTAGATCTATATGTGTAAGATGTGTTGTTGTCATGTTAATAGTATTATCACTGAAATCAAATCTATGGCTGTAGCATCGTGAGCAGGATTTACGTCACGGGATACAACACTTCGCTTTCTGGCCATGATTTCGTTCTCTCTATGAGAGCAATTTTCGATTCATGTGGAGAGGTGATGCATGTTTATATTCCCGGATACGCTAGACGCAGAAAACTCAACAGGTTTGTGCCGCCTTTCCTCCAGTTGTCTCAGCTTTTAAATTAAATACTTCCGATGATTAAACTCTTGATTTTGTTTTACAGATTTGCCTTGATTTATCTTCGGGGAGAAGGTGCACAAGAGAAGCGTTGAAGCTTAGTGGACGACATTGGAAACTTAGTGGAGGATGTTTGAAACTTATCGGACGACGTTACGGCATGAGAAGACACAAGTTAGTCGTTGAGTCTTACCCGTTTGGTGCCAAACACTATGAACGTGAGTTGGCTCCTATGAGAGACGCAGACAATAAGCAAGATCACGTGTAAGTTTTTTTGTTTTTTTAAAGATTTTTGTCTATAAGATAGGTTCTTGTCAGGTTGGTTGATATTGTTATCTCCAGGATTTTTGTTGATGGATATGACACTAAGCGTCCCTTGGAGTACGTTGAGAGAATGCTGTTAAAAGAACTCTCTAAATTTGGACGTATCTTGCATATTTCCCTTCACAAAGAGCGCGGAGGTCCTTCTCTCTCCAGGTTTGTGGCTTCTTCTTCCTCCCAGTTTGCTCTCTTGTTATCAAATGCTAACCAAAGATTTGTTTTTGTTTGCTGCTTTTTATAGATACGCTTACGTTCAAATTGAGGGGGGAATAGGCACAATAGAGAGGATGCTGCAACAATGTGGATGTGCTGTGGAAGGATTGGAGGATATTAAACTTTCCAGGGTTGATCCTCCAGAAAGAGTTGATGTCAGCACCTGTGATATGCCACCCCTATCTGCTTGGGCACCGGTAATGGCTGCTACAGCTACTGAGTTTCCAAATCTCCCTGAACCGCCACCTGAGGGGAAAGATCCCCCTCCTCCTTGGGAGTGTCGTGTGGATAGTGAGACTGGGTGTTTGTTCTTTTGGAATCCAAATACTGGTGTCGAGTTTAAGAAACCCCGTTCTGCCTCACCAATCCGTTACACACGTGAGGATCCACATCTCCCTAAGCCGTGGAAACGTCTCGCTGATAGCTATGGGTATTCGTATTGGTGGAATACAGAGACTAATGTTACCCAGTACGAGAAACCACCTTGCGCAGCTCCTCCCATGCTGCTTCAGGAAGTTCAACGTTCTTCTGCATACCATCCAGCCCTATATGGTTAGCTATAATCCCAACAAATACATGTATTTGATTCTTGATTTCTTGGAAACAAATTGAAACCTCTCAATAATTCGTTCTTTCTCTCAGGGTAAAGAGCACAATTACGCAGTAGAAAGCTCGAAGAAGGATAAGGCGACGGAGGAAAGCCATCTCTATGAGAAACAATGATTTTTTCTTTTTCTTTTTCTTTTTCCCTTTCGTTTGTCTGTTAAATGGAAGCTCACGAAACAACTATCTGTGTTCATTATAACCTAGGCGTGATGTATTTTATCTGGATGTTTAAACTTTAAAGCATGCCTAATTATCTTTATCTGCTATCCTGAGTATATACGAATATACGATTCGATTAATTACTTGAGAAAAAGCATAATCTCCCATCTCAATTTGGTTGGCCCAAGTGTAAAAAACGAGAGTAGTTAGTTGTAAGTTGTAACATCTGCTCCTTAATTATTTTTCTGATGATGACGTCTTGTATTTAAAACTCGATGCAGACAAGTTAAAAATCCATCTTGTCCCATTCTTTATGTTCTTTTTGTTTTGGTGCAAAGCCTTATCGAGATTAAGATGCATTAATTCGTAGAAAGACCTTTTCCATTTTTTAATTGACGAGTTCAGCTCCATAAATGTGTAACCGTCGTCGTTTAGACACCACCATATCCAGGTGATTAGGACTGTTTGGTTGGATTATGAAGGCTGGTTTGGTGAGTTGTAAATTAGTTTGTGTGTCTGCACGATGGTCTTTGTTTTCGTAGTTTGGTCGAGGCGGGGATCTACAATAAAGTTATCTAAAGGTTATTTAGAAGTTTGAACTCGTTTTAATTGGTGTTTTAGTGTGAGTTGGTGATGTTTTTCAATTTGTCTAAACTCATAGCGTCTCATTTGTTTTCATCTTTAGTTCCATTGTGGTTTTACTTTGGTCTTTGTTGTGTTGTAATTTATTTTGCTTTGCAAAATCGCAGTCGGTTCAATTTGAGTGTTTTTGGGCTCAGTTTAGTTGGTTTGGGTCCAGAAACTCTGATTCTCAGAGTTAAAACACGCTGCCGTTTTCTTTCTCCCTTTTTTGTCGTTTTGTGCACGAGTTTTGAAGGAGAAGAGATTAAGGAGTCGATTTCGGTGTTGGTGATTGAATCCGAGGGCGTTCGTTGTCGATTGGAGGTTTGGGTTCGTGTGGCGGCTGCTGCGTGGTGGTTTCGGGGTGTTCTTCGTCGATCTCGTCGTGTTCTTCATCTTCAATCCGTTTTCCCCTCTTTTCAATCTAGAATCGAGGTGATTGCAAGACTGTTGGTCCGTGATTGCTAGATTCAAGATATGTATGTGTTTCTGTGATGATTTCGTGGTAATATTGATGTTTGATTCGAATGTTTTGGTTAATTGCTTGATTTATGTGTTATTATGTAGTTCGGGTATTGTTCATAGATCAATCTCTATGTTTCAGAAATCGGTGTGGAGGGACACAAAGCTTGTGTAGGTCGTCACATACCGGTTAATTCCGGTTTAAATCAATTTGGTCTGGTTTAATTGAATTGATTTAATTGGTTAAATAATTTGATCTCGTTATTGGTAATTTCGGATTTTAATTAATTAATGGGAGTTTTAATTAACTAAATGATTTAAAATAATTATATTAATTATGGAAAATTATTATTTAATTATGAGAATTATTTTGTAATTGAGAAATGAAATATTTAATTATTAAGAATTATTTAATAATTCAAAAAATTGGTATTTAATAATTATCGGAGCTTTTAAATATTATTCAATATCTAGTAATTGCGTAAATGGCTCGTAGTCAGATTGCCTCACTAAGTATTTATTAAATACTTATGCAACTCCATTCCAATGTGTTGTAGGTAAAAGATTTGTGTGATCGCGTAATCAAGGATGAAGAGGGGGATGATAGGATGTTATTGTTTTTATTTATTTTGCATTGTTTTGCTAGACTTGTTTAATTATTACTTTGCTTCCGTTGAACTGAATTATTATTGTTATTGATTGATTTATTTAATCTGTTTTTAAAGACTTTCGCTAGAATTGATTAGTATTTATTTATTTTTTTTTAAAAAAAGATGATTGTTTCATTTTGGTAGCAGAACCTAGACGGTTTTAGGACTGTTAGAATTGCTAGACTTAGTATCATCCCCTTCAGCTAAAGGAGATTCGGCGGTGAGTTTTTGGTGTTCGTGTTTTGTGTTATTGTTCTAGTTTCTCATGTTTGGGTCCATGCAGTGAGATGGACGAGGCTCCTAAAGGTCGTGGCGTGAGAGGACGCGGTGCTCGAGGCCGTGGTGGCAGAGCAAGAGGCCGTGGAGGCCGGGGCCGAGGTCGTGGTATTCCGGCAGATTCGCGAGAGAGTGTGGCGTCGAGTATGGCGACTGCGTCGGTGACCCAGTTGGTATCCGTGGCGAGTGAGGCCAGTGTGGATGCCATTGTTGGTTTGGGAGCGGGGGCTTCTCCGGGTGGGGGCGGTGCTCCGGCTCCGGATCGTGACGACTTGGTGGTGGGGTTGCTGACACAGCTCTTGGCTCGTTTTCCGCCAGTGGTTCCACAGGGGCCTCCGGGAGTACCTCCAGTGGCAGGTGATGCGGAGTCAGGTTTTACCAAACTCCTAGACCTCTGCAAGTGCACAGATCGCGGAAGTATGGGTATCGAACACAAGGACTGGCTATTGAGTACACTTTGTAACTATGGATTTTGGATCAAGCTAAAACAAAAGTATGATTGAGGTTGTAATGGTGAACCGAACTAGCAAGTATAACGAGGTTGTAAACAATAAAGGAAAAGCGCTAGGTCATAGGGGCTATCGCAGAGAAGCAAGCAATGATCAATGAAACAATGATAGATTGAATTGATTAGGGATATTGGGATATTAAGAACCATCTAGAACACAGATCACGAATATAAAACCATTCCACTTTCGAGGCTCCGGCTCCTTTGCTAATCTACCTAGTCGCTAAACTTTTGGTATGTCCCTAGGTGATTAGATCAAGCATTAGAATGAATAGGTTCTGATACAGTTCACTAGATATAGATAGATCAACTTTCGCAGTCTAAGAAACCTAGCTTGTCAAAGAATATGTCCGGCGAATGATACAGCACTGTCGAGGCTCAAATCAACCTAAGATCGGATTACTAGATGCGCGGTAAAGCAATCAGCATTAGTTAAGTGCACAAGACGAGACAAAGACTCTAATATAATCCCTAGCTAATCATTGAAATCAAAGATCATGCAAGCAACTCATTGAATAGTAACCCTAGCAACCTAACTAGTGGATTACTCAGACATGATCAAAGCAAACACACATAGAGATGAAGAAAACATGATTGCAATAAAACTTAGAGTAGGAAATCGAAATACAGGGCGGCTCTCTTTCTCAAGAGGCTAAAAATCCATATATATAGTGCTAGGTCTTCTAGAGGCGGCTTAGGGTTAAGCCGGGCTTGAAAACATAAGTTTGGGCTTCAAAAGGGCTTCGGGTCGACCGCGGCGTTGGGACGGTCGTCGGGACGATCGGCCGGACATCGGGTCGTGGGCGAGTCGGAACGGTCGGGGGCGGATTTCACGGTCGGCCGGCGTGGTCGAGCGGATAGATTTGGCCGATGAATTCTCGGCCGGACGTGGGACGTTCTTTCCCGGCTCGGACGGATGCATCGGCCGTGGTACGCGAACGAGTTGCGCGGCCGCGAGGCTTGTTCCCGGCTCGCGCGCTTTGGTCGTGCGCGGCTGGCGTGACGCTTGAAGCTTGGCCGACCGCGGGACAATGTTTCCCGGGTCGTGATGCGTGATCGGCCGAGTCGGTTTGGAACTTTGGCCGAGACTTCAGTCGGACGGATGTGATTTGGCCGAGCGCGGAACATTCGTTCTCGGCCAGCCGGACTGCGCGGTTGGGCGCTGTTCTCGATAGAGCCGTCTGGACAGTCTTCACTCTTTTGGTTGTAACTCCTTTTCTACTCATCCAAATTAGGCCGTTCCAGTTGCGTTGGAAAGTTAACTCAATCAGAGCACGCAGGGAACTGGTCTTGATGAAATCCATTGAGTAGATCTTTTTCTGGGCCCTCTTAAAGTTGGTGCTTGTGCATGGAGCTGCTTGAAGTGCAAATCCTATGGTTTTGCTCCAAAATGCATCATTTCACCTGTTTAGACTCTAGACACTATAAACACAGTAAAACTACCTTTTTAGATAGAAAACCTGCCAAAAACCATTAGAAAACAATGCTAAAACAGTATAAAAAGTGGGTAAATTAGAGGTATATCAACTCCCCCAGACTTAGATCTTTGCTTGTCCTCAAGCAAAAAGAATCTAAATCCGTGAAAGAGGTTTGAAAACGTGGAAGCTCCCTTGCTCTTTTGAATATCCTGTGAAAGGTTCCTTTCCTGTATTCCACTATGAACATAGACAACATAAGGTTAGCTTCACATACACCCTGCAAGTTTAGCGAACAATACCAACCCAACTAGTCTCATCCAGCAATCCAAACTCTCTATTGCTAACCTCTTGCATAAATTTAAAGCGTGAATTCTTTATCAAGGGGACATCGATCAATTGAACTTGTTCTTACCCACTTGATCTCTCCAAGATTGCCTCTTTAAGTGCAATGAGTTCTTTTCCTCTCTCTTTCTCACATCAGAACTTTGAAAGGTCAATTTCTCCCTACTTTTCTAGGGTATCATTTTATTTTTTCTATTGACCCTTCTTTCAACCACAGGATAAGTCTTTAGCTTGTTCCTTGTTTGACTAAGGTATTCCATAAGACATGAAGGTACAGACATATGCATTCCTCATGCTTACTTGTTTTCCTTGTGCTCTTTGAGCTTTTTCTCATAAATCACTTACCATTTGGGATGGGAGAGAGAGGAGAACTCTTTAAAGATTAGACAAATCTTATTGAAAATCAAGCAAGGAACTGTCGACATGTATGCCAACCCCCTTGACAAGAGTAATTAAGATTGATTAAGGTGAGGTTAACTCTAGATTGCTTGGTTACCTTAGAAATTTTGCTGAGCTAGCATGTCGATCCACTGTAAGAGCTTCTGTTAGGCTTGTGCCTTTAGCTGGTTTCTGCTCTAGGGTCATGGATTGTTAGCATAACACTCTCAATTCTCAAAGCAAGTTCATAACTTCCGGACTGGTTTTTGACTCAATAAAACTTTTTGAAAAACATGAAACAAAGTGAATAAAACATAAGAAAAGAAAGAAAAATGCATTAGTAACACAATAAAACTCCCCCCAGACTTAACTTGCACCGTCCCGGTGAAAGCAAATCACATTAAGGTGAGAGGTAATATTCAAAGTAAAAGAAAAATAAAGAAAATTCATTAAAATGAGATAGGGATAGAAAATGGAGATTTGTAAGTGTCCATTGCACTAAGTACCACTTGAGATGACTATGTGTGGCAGTGAGAAGAACTCTCTTCCTCATCTATGGGGTCATCGCCTTCTGAACCAAGCTCTGAGTCTAGTGAGAACTCACCAAGGTCAGGCTCATATGGCTCTCTAGCGGTGGAAGAAGGGCGAAAGAGTCTCTCCGGTGCAATGTGGCGAACTACACGGACTAGGCGTGAGATGAAGCGAGATTGGCATTCCACTATCTTCTCCAGCTTGTTAACACGGTCTAGAGCTTGATGCGCCATGCCAGTAGTGAGAACATGGCGTTCTTGGGTGGCGGCGTTGAGTCTTGACTGCATGCTGAAGTGTGCGATAGGTGAGCATGGGGAATGATGGTTTCTCACTTGATGGAACATAGAAGTCTTCCTCATTGGGCTGGAAAGTGACAACTCCTGAGCGTAGGCTTGGGATGTCTTCATGTGGCAGCAAGACAAGGGAAGTGTTGGCTGGACCAATTGGAAACTCATAGCAAAACCGAGTTGGGTCTTTAGTCCAACGGTTTAGGAAGTGGATGTGCTGAAGAGCATGGAGATCCAAAGGGGTTGGCTTGGGTAGTGGCTCATAGTTGGGAATGTCAATCCCCACATGCAGTACTATGGCCGTGATAAGCCTCCCAAAACGAACACAAAGCTTCTTGTTGCCTTCCAAGTCTTGAGCTAGCTTCCTCACATTGATGAATGTCTTGGCAAGTAAAAGTCCAAGGTTGGCCTTGTACTCATGCTTGATGAATGGTGTGGTGAGGATGTAGAACTCATCAGTTGTGACCTTGTTGGCTTCTTGTTTGCATTGGAAAGTGGTGGAGATGAGGCGGTGCACATAGCGAATGGCTGGATGAGTGATTCTAGACACCTTTGACCTTGAAGGCAAGAATGGTTCATTGGCAAAGTGTGTCCAATCAGCAAAGGCAGCTTGTTTCCTCTTTGAGTTCTCCTTGAAGTCATGTGCTGTCTCATTGGGAAGTCCAAAGAGTTGGCATAGAGCTGAGATGGATATGCGCCCATTGGCATCGCCTATCTTGAAGAGTAGGAGTCCATCACCAGCTGGTTGGTCTCCATTGTGGTTGGGAAAGGCAAGAGCTACTGTGGAGAGGAACTCCTTGGTGAGTTGTGAGTACTCACTACACTCTAGCTTGAAGAGCTTGCTCAAGCCTAGCTTCCTTATGTACCATGTGACATCATCTCTTATCTTGAGAAGATCAAGGGTTTGGGTGTCCATCTTCACACATGGCTCGATGTTCACCTTCTCCATTGCCTTCTTACACTTTCTTGGGTCTTGATTGTTCTCCAACAAAGGTTACAAGTGCCCAATCATCTTCTCTCTCTTGGACTCTCCACATGTTCTTGATTGCATCAATGGAATGTGGTGAAGTTGGTATTGCTGCTCTTGCATTGGAGCTACTACTCCCTAGCTTGATTTGTTTCTTTGGTGGTTCCATGAATGGGTTCTTCTTCTTCATACTCTCATTTCCTTTTGTCTTTGCCATTGGTGTACCTTGGCCTTGAAAAGTTTTGGGCCGATGGCCGAGCAATTTGTCGCGGTCGAGCGATTGGTCGGCCAAATTTTGTTTTGGTCGAGAAAATCGGCCGATCCGGTCGTTTGTTTCCCGGATCGACCGCGGTCGGTCCGTTCCGATACAAAATCCGGCCGATCGCGGCCTAATCTTTCCCTGTTCGCGCGTGCGCTCGAACGTTTTCTGTCGCGCAAATTGAAGCGATCCGGCCGAGCACGAGCTATTCCTTCCCGGCTCGACCGTGACGGTCGGCCAGGTTGAGAATTGCTCGGCCAAAATTTTCTTGCGCGTCCGCGGCCAATGTTTTGGCGCGGATTGTGTTTTCACACCTTTTTCTCCTTCTATCCTATCTTAAAACAAAGAAAACACAAAAGCAAAACAAAAACTAAGAAATTTAAAGAAAGAAAAGTAAAAGTACCTCATGGGTTGCCTCCCATGCAGCGCTTGTTTTAAGTCTTTAGCTTGACTGTAAGGCTTGGCGCTCAGGAGAAGATGGAGACAAGAGGCATCTTTGATCCTCCAAGTCTTTTCTCCTTGCAATGAGTATCTGGTGGGTGATTCACAGCTGGATAGACAATCTCTCCATGAATGTCCCTTGGCACTACTGCCTTAGGAAAAAGCTTTAGAGTTCTTGTCACTTTCTCCTTGAATCCTTCTAGATTCTCATCAATAAGCTCCTTTGGGAATAGAAGCTTCATGTTGCGGCCAGACCTAGGTTTTCTAACCTTCTTCTTGGCTTGGCCTCATCTTCAATCTTGGTTGATCCCTTGGGCGGTTTTGGTGTAGGGGCCTTAGTCTTACTCCTTGCTTGTTTGGCAAGCTGCTTGGGCTTAGGAATGGGATCTTCCTTGATTGTTTCTTCAGTTTCTCCTTCTTGGGGTGGCTTCAAAGTAACTTTCTCCTCTTGGACCATGTCAACAAAAGAGTTCTTTGTTGAACACATAGGGAAGAACATACCCTTGTTCACCTTGTTGAAAGAGATTCTTTGATTGGGGAAATCAAATATGGCACCCACAGTAGACAGGAAAGGGGTTCCAAATATGAGAGGTCTATGGCTACTCTCTCTCATTTCCACAATCTGGAAATCAGTAGGGATAGAGCAATTTCCAATCTGCACCATCACATTAGGCACAAAGCCATAGGGGTTTGTGAGAATGAATCAGCATAGTTGATGGAGATGGATGATGGCTCTATCTTGGTGAGGCCTATCTTGTCAGCTATCCTCTTAGACATGATGTTCACATTGGCTCCTGTGTCACACAAAGATTGCTCAAGAATGTTACCTTTGATGATACAAGGCACAACAAACTTTCCTGAGTTATCAGTCTTGGGGATAATCTTTGGGAAGAGTCTTCTCTTTCTAGCTCGATTGGACTCTCTCTCTGGGTAATTCTCTTCAGGCCAAATCATGCAATCAACAGTAGGTTTTGAAAGCATCCATTCTGGAACTTGGTCTTCAAATCTTTCTTCTATGGCGGCTGAGTTGCAAAAGGACTTCTTGGATTCAGCTTCCTGTCTCTTAACAGCTTCCATAGTTTGAGTGACTTGAGTCTCTAGTTTCTTCACATGAGTGGCAACAGCATCATACTTGGTGTTGAGATTGCTGAACAAAGTGTCCATCTTCTCATACATCTCTTTAGTGTTTCTCTTCTGGCCATCCATGATCTGTTGGAGGATTCCTTCAAATCTCCCACCTTGTTGGTTTGGAGGAGCTTGATTTGGTGAAGAAGCATATGGCTCCTTGGGCGGATATGATGATCTCTGCTCATATCCTTGCCTTGGCTGAAATTGACTTCCTTGAGATTGGTAAGGAGGTCTTTGTTGTTGTGGATACCTTGGAGGATACACTTGGTCTTGAGGATTCTCCACATTGGGGTTTCTATAAGACATGTTGGGGTTTGGGCGATAGCTTGGATTGTATCCCTTGTTCCCATAGTTTCCAATGTAGTTCACATCTTCTTCATTGGCTTCATTAGAGAAATCTCCCATGCATTCTCTTGATGTCTTCATTAGCATCACTCATCCCTTCTATTGCATTGATATGCTTGAGCTGTCCCTTAAGAACTTGAGCCATCATGTTCTTGAGTTCAGTCATTTGAAAAGAATCAGGGGAGCTAGTAGTGGTGCGGCTTGAGCGGTCATAATCAGGACAGTTGTTACAATCACTAGCTGCAAGATTCTCAATAAGAACCTTAGCTTCATCAACAGTCTTGGTCATGAAGTTTCCATTGCTTGTGTATCCAATGAAAGCTTGTACTTGTGGTCTATGCCACGATAGAAGATGTTCCATAGGTTTCTTGATATACCTCTAATTTACCCACTTTTTATACTGTTTTAGCATTGTTTTCTAATGGTTTTTGGCAGGTTTTCTATCTAAAAAGGTAGTTTTACTATGTTTATAGTGTCTAGAGTCTAAACAGGTGAAATGATGCATTTTGGAGCAAAACCATAGGATTTGCACTTCAAGCAGCTCCATGCACAAGCACCAACTTTAAGAGGGCCCAGAAAAAGATCTACTCAATGGATTTCATCAAGACCAGTTCCCTGCGTGCTCTGATTGAGTTAACTTTCCAACGCAATTGGAATGGCCTAATTTGGATGAGTAGAAAAGGAGTTACAACCAAAAGAGTGAAGACTGTCCAGACGGCTCTATCGAGAATCAGCGCCCAAACCGCGCAGTCCGGCTGGCCGAGGAACGATGTTCCGCGCTCGGCCAAATCATATCCGTCCGACTGAAGTCTCGGCCAAAGTCCAAACCGTCGGCCGATCACGCAACGACCCGGGAAACATTGTCCCGCGGTCGGCCAAGCCAAACGCTCACGCCACAGCCGCGCACGACCAAGCGCGCGAGCCGGGAAACAAGGCCTCGCGGCCGCGCAACTCGTTCGCGTACCACGGCCGATGCATCCGTCCGACCGGGAAAGAACGTCCCACGTCCGGCCGAGAATTCCATCGGCCAAACTCGATCCGCTCGACCACGCCGGCCGACCGTGACAACATCCGCCCCCGATCGTCCCGAAGCCCTTTTGAAGCCCAAACTTATGTTTTCAAGCCCGGCTTAACCCTAGCCGCCTCTAGAAAGACCTAGCACTATATATATGGATTTTTAGCCTCTTGAGAAAGAGAGCCGCCCTGTATTTCGATTTCCTACTCTAAGTTTTATTGCAATCATGTTTTCTTCATCTCTATGTGTGTTTGCTTTGATCATGTCTGAGTAATCCACTAGTTAGGTTGCTAGGGTTACTATTCAATGAGTTGCTTGCATGATCTTTGATTTCAATGATTAGCTAGGGATTATATTAGAGTCTTTGTCTCGTCTTGTGCACTTAACTAATGCTGATTGCTTTACCGCGCATCTAGTAATCCGATCTTAGGTTGATTTGAGCCTCGACAGTGCTGTATCATTCGCCGGACATATTCTTTGACAAGCTAGGTTTCTTAGACTGCGAAAGTTGATCTATCTATATCTAGTGAACTGTATCAGAACCTATTCATTCTAATGCTTGATCTAATCACCTAGGGACATACCAAAAGTTTAGCGACTAGGTAGATTAGCAAAGGAGCCGGAGCCTCGAAAGTGGAATGGTTTTATATTCGTGATCTGTGTTCTAGATGGTTCTTAATATCCCAATATCCCTAATCAATTCAATCTATCATTGTTTCATTGATCATTGCTTGCTTCTCTGCGATAGCCCCTATGACCTAGCGCTTTTCCTTTATTGTTTACAACCTCGTTATACTTGCTAGTTCGGTTCACCATTACAACCTCAATCATACTTTTGTTTTAGCTTGATCCAAAATCCATAGTTACAAAGTGTACTCAATAGCCAGTCCTTGTGTTCGATACCCATACTTCCGCGATCTGTGCACTTGCAGAGGTCTAGGAGTTTGGTAAAACCTGACTCCGCATCATTTTCCTCATTGAAACCATGATTAGGGCAGTCCCTAATGTACTCCTTGAATCGATCTAGCGCCTCATAGAAAGATTCATTGTTGGCTTGGCGAAAAGTGGAGATCTTGTTTCTCACAGAAATTGATCTTTGCTTGGTGTAGAAGTGGTTGATGAATGCAGCCTTGTACTCATCCCAAGTGGTGATGGAGTGAGCTGGCAGAGACTTCAACCATCTTGAAGCTTTGTCGCCAAGAGAGAATGAAAAGAGCTTGCACTTAAGTAGTCAGCAGAGACTCCATTGGATCTTGTAGTGCTGCAAATTTCTTCAAAGTTTTCTATGTGATCAAGAGGATGCTCAGCTGGAAGTCCATTGAATTGGTTCTGTCTAACCAATGCAATGATCTGAGGCTTGATCTCATAGTCATTCCTTGCAGGTGGTGGTGGATGGATAGGGTTTCTATCCATAAAGAAAGCATCGGCAGAGTCATAGTCTCCGATTGTAGGTGCTCCAGCTTGGGGTTGTGCGTTCACATCTCCAGCAGGATTAGGAGGAGGAGGAGGTGGATCTCTTCCTTCTTCTTGAGCGCGCGCCACTTCAGCGGCGTGAGCGCGAGCTGCTTCGTCGGCCATCTCTTGGGCTTTTGCTTCCTAAGTTGCTTCTCAAGCTTGTCTATCTCTGGATGTTCAACTAGGTTGTCCTTGTTGGACCTCCTAGTCATGCACCTGAAAAGAGTCTTGGAAACAAGTTAAATCAAAAGGGAAAAACAAAAACAAAAGTAAAAATCAAAGAAAAGGAAATCAAAAACTAAAAATTCAAAAGCAAAAGAAAAGCAAAACAGGAAAAGGTTCTAGACTAGATCCTAGTCGAGTTCCAAAGGTACTGCTGCAGTCCCCGGCAACGGCGCCAAAAACTTGATGCGGAGTCAGGTTTTACCAAACTCCTAGACCTCTGCAAGTGCACAGATCGCGGAAGTATGGGTATCGAACACAAGGACTGGCTATTGAGTACACTTTGTAACTATGGATTTTGGATCAAGCTAAAACAAAAGTATGATTGAGGTTGTAATGGTGAACCGAACTAGCAAGTATAACGAGGTTGTAAAGCAATAAAGGAAAAGCGCTAGGTCATAGGGGCTATCGCAGAGAAGCAAGCAATGATCAATGAAACAATGATAGATTAATTGATTAGGGATATTGGGATATTAAGAACCATCTAGAACACAGATCACGAATATAAAACCATTCCACTTTCGAGGCTCCGGCTCCTTTGCTAATCTACCTAGTCGCTAAACTTTTGGTATGTCCCTAGGTGATTAGATCAAGCATTAGAATGAATAGGTTCTGATACAGTTCACTAGATATAGATAGATCAACTTTCGCAGTCTAAGAAACCTAGCTTGTCAAAGAATATGTCCGGCGAATGATACAGCACTGTCGAGGCTCAAATCAACCTAAGATCGGATTACTAGATGCGCGGTAAAGCAATCAGCATTAGTTAAGTGCACAAGACGAGACAAAGACTCTAATATAATCCCTAGCTAATCATTGAAATCAAAGATCATGCAAGCAACTCATTGAATAGTAACCCTAGCAACCTAACTAGTGGATTACTCAGACATGATCAAAGCAAACACACATAGAGATGAAGAAAACATGATTGCAATAAAACTTAGAGTAGGAAATCGAAATACAGGGCGGCTCTCTTTCTCAAGAGGCTAAAAATCCATATATATAGTGCTAGGTCTTTCTAGAGGCGGCTTAGGGTTAAGCCGGGCTTGAAAACATAAGTTTGGGCTTCAAAAGGGCTTCGGGTCGACCGCGGCGTTGGGACGGTCGTGCGGGACGATCGGCCGGACATCGGGTCGTGGGCGAGTCGGAACGGTCGGGGCGGATGTTTCACGGTCGGCCGGCGTGGTCGAGCGGATAGATTTGGCCGATGAAATCTCGGCCGGACGTGGGACGTCTTTCCCGGCTCGGACGGATGCATCGGCCGTGGTACGCGAACGAGTTGCGCGGCCGCGAGGCCTTGTTTCCCGGCTCGCGCGCTTGGTCGTGCGCGGCTTGGCGTGGCGTTGGCTTGGCCGACCGCGGGAATGTTTCCCGGGTCGTGATGCGTGATCGGCCGGTCGGTTTTGGACTTTGGCCGAGACTTCAGTCGGACGGATGTGATTTGGCCGAGCGCGGAACATTGTTCCTCGGCCAGCCGGACTGCGCGGTTTGGGCGCTGTTCTCGATAGAGCCGTCTGGACAGTCTTCACTCTTTTGGTTGTAACTCCTTTTCTACTCATCCAAATTAGGCCATTCCAATTGCGTTGGAAAGTTAACTCAATCAGAGCACGCAGGGAACTGGTCTTGATGAAATCCATTGAGTAGATCTTTTTCTGGGCCCTCTTAAAGTTGGTGCTTGTGCATGGAGCTGCTTGAAGTGCAAATCCTATGGTTTTGCTCCAAAATGCATCATTTCACCTGTTTAGACTCTAGACACTATAAACACAGTAAAACTACCTTTTTAGATAGAAAACCTGCCAAAAACCATTAGAAAACAATGCTAAAACAGTATAAAAAGTGGGTAAATTAGAGGTATATCAGCAGGAGTGCAGCATGTGGCTGCAGATGTTGTGCAGCCGGAGGCTGCGGATGCGGGTGTGTCGTGTTACTTGGAGTTTATGGGACACATGCAGAGGTTGGGTACGCCTTTCTTCGAGGGGCGAGTTGGTCCAGAGGAGGCAGATGCGTGGCGTCAGAGATTGGAGCGGAACTTTCAGTCGATCCGCTGTCCTATGGATTACTGGGTGGAGTTAGCGGTCCACTATTTGAGTGGCGATGCTCATTTGTGGAGGGAATTTTGAACTTGGGGCAACTTCCTTGTTGAGTTCAACGCCAAGTGTTTCCCTAGGCAGGCTCGTGATCGTCTTCAGATGCGATTTATGGACATTGAGCAGGGTTCGCGTTCTGTGCGCGAGTATGATGCGGAGTTCAGCCGCCTGTTAGTGCATGCTGGCTTCGGCATGGAGGCTGAGCATCAGTTGACGAACAGGTTTCTAGAGGGACTTCGCAAGGATATCCGGACGCTATGCAGAGGTGGTAAGCACACTTCGAGGGCGAGTCTAGTGGAGTTGGCAGCGTCGGTTGAGGCGGATCTGAGTGGGCTAATTGGTCTGGTGGCTGTGCCGTCTGCTCCTGCTATCCCACCTCGGAGTCAGCAGCAGCAGCAGCGCAGAGGTGGCGCGAGTTTCAGTTCTGGTTCTGGCAGGGGCAGTTTGCCTGCGCAGGGCCAGAAGAGGAGTCGAGATTAGAGCTTTGGAGGTAGTCAGGGTACTCGAGGTGCTTGTTACCGTTGTGGGAGTACAGAGCACCGTATGGCGAGCTGTCCTAGGAGAGATGCGGTTCAGGATGTCAGGGTTTGTTATCATTGTAGGCAGTCGGGTGATGCGGGATCAGGTTTTACCTATTCCTATCCCTGATTCTGCAAGTGCACAGGTCAGGTGTAGTAACGGGTTATCGAACACAAGGAGCAGATAAGTGCACTACAAGCTATGCAAGTCTAACTTAGCTAGGACAAGAGGATATATTTGGTTTGGTATGCAAAGTAACTAACTAAACTAAGAAAGCAAAGTAAAACGGTGTGAATTCAATGTGGGAAAGACGCTAGGCAATGAGAAACTCGCAGAGATTCAAGTTAATCAAGATATTAGAATCTAGGGTTTGCGCTATCTAGAACTCAGGTCACGATTGTATGATCTTTCCACTGTCGAGGCTCCGACCCCTTTGTTAATCTACCTAGTCGCTAAACTTTTGGTATGTCCCTAGGTGATTAAATCAAGCATTAATTCGTTCAAGACCCAATTGTTCACAACCCCCATAGATCAACTTCGCAGTCTATGAAGTTTTGCTCACCAAATACTTAGTTCCGGTTATATAGCAAGCTTTTGGAGAGTATATGAAACCTAAGATCTGATGCTAGTTGATCAGAAAAGCAAGCAGCAATAAGTTCAAGCAGAGGCGAAGATCTATATATAAACCCTACGAATTCTACAACCTATAAACCATGAACTCTTTGAAACCACAACCTAACTAGAAATCTACTCAATCATCATGCAAGTAAACAAGCATAAATCATAGAACGAAATCATAGTATTATAAGGAGAAAAGGGTTTAGAAAGCTTCTCTATGTCGAGATACAAAGAAGGGATCTTCTCCCTTAAGAAAACAATGAGAAAGAAGTAAAACAATGGAGAATCCCTCTAAGGGGAGCTCCCTAGTGCGTCTCTCTCTTGTGGCTCTTCTCCTGTGCGGCTCTCTCTTCTAAAGAGGCTAAAAAAGAGTATTTATAGTGCCCTAGGTCTTCCACAAGTCGGTTGAGGTGAAACGGGCCAGAATAGTCGAAACTGCATAAGTGGGCTTTTTGTTCGCGGAGCTCGGGTCGACCGTGCAAGGGATGTGGTCGGCCGTCGGGGTCGGCCGTGATGTGATGTTCTCGGTCGATCGTGGTCCATTGCCTCCCGGCTCGGACGGTGCGGTCGTGCGGCCGGATCGGTCCTGGAGAAGGCCGAGCGAAGCCAATTCCCTTCCTGTCCGGCCGAGTGCGTTCGGCCGGCTGTGGACCAGTCTTCAGTACAAACGTGATATCTCCTAAACGGCTTATCCAAATTGCATACTTCCAACGGCATTGGAACACTAACTCATCTGCCTATCTTGGTGAGAGTTTCATTGAAATCCATTGAGTTTAAGGGTCCAAGCCGCTGCTGCCCGTTTGATGTACTGATGCAGTCCGATAAAGCTCCTTGGTATATGTCTCAGGGAAATAGAGATATCTCCCAATCTACTCGGTCAAATTGATTGATTCCAGTTGCGTTGCAAAGCTAACTCATGTATGCATCCTCGAACTGGATTTGATGAATTCCATTGAGTAGAATGTTTTTAAGGCCCTTCTAAAGTTGATGCTACGTCTTGGAGCGGTCTTGAAGTCCAAATCCTGTGTTTTGCTCCAAAATGCATCTTTTGACCTGTTTAGACTCTAAGTACTATAAATCCATAAAAACTACCTTTTTAGATCAGAAAGCCATTAAAAACCTTATGAAAAGCATAGTAAAACCATATAAAAAGCATGTAAAATAGAGGTATATCATCGGGGCATCTCAGGCCGACGTGTCCCCAGTTGCAGAGGATGGCAGTGGCGTCGATTCAGCCGGTGTGTAACTCCCCCGGTTCGGTCTATGAGTAGACTAAACCGCAGATGTCACAAGTGTCGAGTTTCATAAGATAGGCCGTCTTGGGTCTAAGAACACATCAAAGCCCAAGTCAGCTAATCCAATGAATACGACCCTCTCGACCTTCGGTTAAGGCTTTACAACCTGCTCCTCCGGTCTTGAGTTGTGTTAGCTCCAGACAAAAACTAATATCATTCGAGAGGCCAGATTTGTAAAAGATAACTTTATATATTAACCTTCTCAAAACATGTTTTACAAAAGCTTATACTACTTTGGTGCCAAGGCCTAATGCCCAAAATAGATACTACATATAATAACCTGAAATCGAGTTTTACAAAAGCCAAGCCAATCTACTCCGGTTTTCAGCTGTTCTGCCTCCCGTCCACAGGCTTCTACTAGGGGTTACCTGTAAGACAAATAATCGATATGAGTAACCTAATGTTACTCAGTGAGTTTAGGACCCTCTATACAATGGTTAATCCCCAAACCCAAACCCCAAAATAAAACACATTGCGTAATGCTGCTATAACCTCTAAACTGACAGCACAACAATCAAACAAGAACATGTACGACCAATCAGAGATTATATGCAACACCTAACAATGCTCAGCAATAATATTAAACCGCGGGCTTACCACCCCGCCACCTGCATCACACAAAAGTATGCATAACATATGCATACCACCTGCAAATTGCAATCACACATGTAAATAAAATGCAATCCTACAAGTATAGGAATACTTGTCTCCTAAATGCAAGTACCCATGTACTTGACCCTAACAGTCTATTTCACTACTTCACCGGTGGAACTTCTACTAGTGTATCAGATATTCTCCATTCCGGTAAAGCACCACTCCTGAGAAACACAAAGTAATCCAGAGCGGTCATCACCTGGCAAAGCACTGCACCTGTGAAACACAAAGTAACCAGGCCAGAGCTTTATCCCATTCTGAACTGGACTTACCCTGCCAGGTCAGACCACCTCTGAAATGGACTTACCCTACCATATCAGACAACCACCTCTGACCTAGACTTACCCTGCTAGATCATAGCGGCATAGCCATGCTATAAACCCACAACCGATGCATCTCTGTGCACCTGTATAAACAAGATCTGACGGCATAACCTTCCCTGAAGGTTACTCATCACAATCTTACACACAAAAGAGATCTAACAGCATAATCTTCCCCGAAGGTTACCTAACACAACCTCACAACACAAGAGATCTGACGGTATAACTTCTCTCTCTAGAAAATTACCCGTCACAACCTCACAAAGATTTCTGCAGCATAACTCTCCACAATTTTTACTAAACCTTATTGTTTAGAGAGTTATACCACATACTTAATAAAACAATAGAAGGAAATAAACTATAACCTAGCTACCGGAACTCACAGATTTTAGACGACCCAGCTGACCTCGTTCCTAGCCTATTCCGCTCTAGTCCGAACTCGATCCGCCTCTGGATCTTTTCTTCTTCTTCTCGACCTTCTTCTTCTTCCTCTTCTTCTCCACCTTCTTCTTCTTCTTCTTCTTCTTCTCCTCCTTCTTCTCTTGGGCGTTCTCCTCTTTCTCTCTCTTTCTTTCTTGTTTTTAGCGTGTGTTAAAATGAAGGCTGAAGGGGGCTTTATATAGGTTTTTAGGAAGTTCGAGGTGGCGTCTGAGGGTTTCAGAACGTGACACATCTCCCCTGCATGCAACCAATGACGTTGAGGCACACCTGCAGCTGCTTCTCCCATCCCCATCCACTTGAGTTGAATGGCATCTCCCCATTGGTCCATTCTCCAAGCTGCTGGGTAGCTGAACGTAATTGGTCCATTGAAGATGAGCATCTCCTCCTTGATCCTATCTTCCTGGAATGAGTGGCTCATTCCCATTGACTCCTTCCTCAAGCTGGTGAGTGTGTAGACATGATTGGTCCGTTTTGAAAGCTGCTGGGTATCCAACATATTTTTGTCTTCTTACGAGCAGCTGAATGCTCACACCTGATTGGTCCGTTTTGAAAGCTGCTGGGTATCTCCATTTGATTTGTCCATTTTTGGATAATATAATTCAATCACAATGCCTATCCATGGCCTCACTCTCTCCGATCAGGTGGTGTTGACACAAGATTGGTCCAACACAATTTCGTCCCATTCCAACAGCTCAATGTCTCTGCGTGATTGGCTGAACGGTTTTGGCTCCATCTGAGTAGCTTGGTGTCTCCTCCTTATTGGTTTAGATCATCTTTATCCTTCTCAAGTAGCTGGTGTCGCCATTCCATTGGCCTTGTGCTTCCTCCTACGTTTCCTCTTGCTGAGGATTTCGTACGTTTCCCTCTACGAAGGGTTTCGTTCCCCGTCGTGCTTGATTTTATTTCTCCTTCAATGCTTCCTCCTTATGATTTTCGTGCTTCTGTATGTTACTGTTGCAGCTTGAAATCTTCCCGTTTCGTTGATTTTCTCATCCTCGGGTGAAAAGCGGTTTTTTTCTTCCCTTGGTCTTTGATCTTCCCATCCCAGCCTTTGGGATTGGGATTCCCTTGGGATGTATTAGGTCTTGATATGGGTTATCACACGGTGAGTCAGATTGCAGCGGTGCAGCGAGCAGGTCAGAGTGCATCGGCACCGCGAGGCTATTCTTCGGCGGAGACCAGCGGGACCAGTCAGGCCGGGCAGATCACATGTAAATTTCGAACTCAGACTTTGTAAATTCTTAGTGTAGAATTAGTTGTTGTTTTTGATAGAATTCTGGAGGTTCTCAACGCATTTGAATGTGTAGGGACCTTGTTAGTAGGCCGTTTTGAGTCCCACATTTTATTCGACTCTGGAGCATCGAATTGCTTCATTACACCGGAGCGTGCCGAGAAGAGTGGCATCCGGAACTGTATGATGTTATTCTCGGGATGGACTGGTTGTCGTACTACAGAGTTCATCTGGATTGCTACAGAGGCAGAGTCGTCTTTGAGCGAGATGCGGGGAGGTTGGTTTATCAGGGAGTGACACCGACTTCCGGGATTATCGTGATATCTGCTATTCAGGCTGAATAGTTGATAGAGCGGGGCTGTGAGGCGTATCTAGCGACGATTTCTATGTCTGAGTTAGGAGCAGGAATGGTTATGGGAGATATTGAGGTTGTCTAGGATTTTGAGGATGTCTTTCAGTCACTGAAGGGATTACCACCATCTCGGTCTGATCCTTTCACGATTGAGTTAGAGCCGGGGACAGCACCGATATCGAAGACGCCTTACAAGATGGTGCCAGCTAAGTTGGCAGAGCTGAAGAAGCAGATAGAGGACCTTTTGTCTAAGGGGTTCATTCGACCGAGTGTTTCACCGTGGGGAGCACCGGTGTTGTTTGTGAAGAAGAAGGATGGAAGTTTTCGATTGTGTATCGATTACAGAGGTCTTAACCGAGTCACTGTGAAGAACAGGTACCCACTCCCGAGGATTGATGAGTTGTTGGATCAGTTAAGGGGTGCTACTTGGTTCTCCAAGATTGACTTGGCATCGGGGTATCATCAAATCTCGATAGATGAGGGAGATGTTTGGAAGACTGCTTTCTGATATACCTCAATTTTACATGCTTTTTATATGGTTTTACTATGCTTTTCATAAGGTTTTTAATGGCTTTCATCTAAAAAGGTAGTTTTTATGGATTTATAGTACTTAGAGTCTAAACAGGTCAAAAATGCATTGGAGCATCAATCCAGTTCGAGGCGATGCATACGTGAGTTAGCTTTGCAACGCAACTGGAATCAATCAATTTGACCGAGTAGATTGGGAGATATCTCTATTTCCCTGAGACATATACGAGGAGCTTAATCGGACTGCATCAGTACATCAAACGGGCAGCAGCGGCTTGGACCCTTAAACTCAATGGATTTCAATGAAACTCGATACCAAGATAGGCAGATGAGTTAGTGTTCCAATGCCGTTGGAAGTATGCAATTTGGATGAGCCGTTTAGGAGATATCACGTTTGTACTGAAGACTGGTCCACAGCCGGCCGAACGCACTCGGCCGGACAGGAAGGGAATTGGCTTCGCTCGGCCTTCTCCAGGACCGATCCGACCGCACGACCGCACCGTCCGAGCCGGGAGGCAATGGACCACGATCGACCGAGAACATCACATCACGGCCGACCCCGACGGCCGACCACAATCCCTTGCACGGTCGACCCGATCTCCGCGAACAAGAAGCCCACTTATGCAGTTTTGACTATTCTCAGCCCAATTAACCTAAACCGACTTGTGAAGACCTAGGGCACTATAAATACTCTTTTTTAGCCTCTTTAGAAGAGAGAGCCGCATAGAGAGTCACACAGAGAAGAGCTACAAGAGAGAGGCGCACTAGGGAGCTCCCCTTAGAGGGATCCTCCATTGTTTTACTTCTTTCTCATTGTTTTCCTTAGGGAGAAGATCCCTTCTTTGTATCTCGACATAGAGAAGCTTTCTAAACCCTTTTCTCTTTATATTAATATGATTTCTATCTCAGATCTATGCTTGTTTACTTGCACCATGTTTGAGTAGATTTCTAGTTAGGTTTTAGGGTTTCAAAGAGTTCATGTGTTGATTATGATTTGATGAATTAACTAGGGATATCATTAGAGTCTTTGTCTCGTTTTGCACACTTAATTAATGCTAATCACTTTACCGTACATCTAGTGATTCGATCTTAGGTTGATTTGAGCCTCGAAAGTGTTGTATCATTCGCCGGACATATTCTTTGACAAGCTAGGTTTCTTAGACTGCGACAGTTGATTTACTTAACCTAGTGAACTGTATCCGAACTTGCTCGATCTAATGCTTGATTTAATCACCTAGGGACATACCAAAAGTTTAGCGACTAGGTAGATTAACAAAGGAACCGGAGCCTCGACAGTGGAATGGTTTTACAATCGTGTTTGGTGTTCTAGACGGATCTTACATCCCATATCCCTAAATAGATATAAATCAATCATCAATCTTATCATATATGAATCTCTGCGAATTACCTATTGCCTAGCGTCTTTCCCACATTGAACTTACACCGTTTTCTTTGCTTTCTTTTAGTTTAGTTCTTTTGCATACCAAACCCCAATTCATCCTTTGTCCTAGCTAAGTTAGACTTGCATAGCTTGTAGTGCACTTATCTGCTCCTTGTGTTCGATAACCCGTTACTACACCTGACCTGTGCACTTGCAGAATCAGGGATAGGAATAGGTAAAACCTGATCCCGCATCACTTTCAGGACGCGTTATGGGCATTTTGAGTTTGTGGTTATGCCTTTCGGTTTGACTAACGCGCCGGCAGCCTTCATGAGATTGATGAACGACGTGTTCAGGGAGTATTTGGACGTGTTGTCATCATTTTCATTGATGATATTCTGGTATACTCGAGGAGTCAGGAGGAGCATGCGACTCACTTGAGGTTGGTTCTGGAGAAGCTTCGGGAGCAGAAGCTTTTTGCTAAGTTGAGCAAGTGCAGTTTCTGGCAGCGAGAGATGGGATTTCTTGGCCACATTGTTTCTGCAGAGGGAGTTTCTGTGGATCCGGCTAAGATTGAGGCTATCAGAGATTGGCCTAGACCTAGTAGTGCCACGAGATCAGAGTTTTCTGGGTTTGGCAGGATACTACAGGAGGTTCGTCAAGGGGTTTGCTACCATGGCGCAGCCGATGACGAAGTTGACCGGGAAGGATGTCCCGTTTGTTTGGTCAGCTGAGTGTGAGGAGAGCTTTAGTCAGCTCAAGGAGATGTTGACTACTACACCAGTGTTGGCGTTACCCGAGCCAGGGAAGCCTTACATGGTGTATACAGATGCTTCAGGCATTGGTCTTGGTTGTGTGCTGATGCAGGAGGGCAGAGTGATAGCATATGCTTCGAGACAGTGGCAGGGCAGTGAGCGTAACCGTCCTACACATGACTTAGAGTTGGGAGCAGTGATCTTCGCGCTGAAGATTTGGAGGTCTTACTTGCTGGGTGAGACAGTACAGGTCTTCACAGATCACAAGAGTTTGCAGCATATCTTCACTCAGCCGATGATGAACGCGAGACAGACGCGCTGGGTTGAGTTCTTGGCGGACTATCAGGTGAACATTAACTACCATCCGGGCAAGGCTAACCTAGTGGCGGACGCGTTGAGTAGACGGAGGTATGATTCCGCAGTTGAGCGAGATGTGGAGTCTCTGGTTGCGAGATCAGTACCTTGCGTTTGTGTGCCATTTCGCAGGAGCCTTTGGGTTTAGAGGCAGTGGATCAGGCGGATCTACTTAGCAGGATCAGAGTTGCTCAGCAGAGTGATCAGAGTTTGCTGGATGCGACGAGAGTGACTGGTTCTGAGTATGAGGTCTCTGCGAATGGGACTATCTTGGTTCGTGGGCGAGTTTGTGTGCCTAAGGATGTGGAGTTGAGACAGGAGATTGAGAGGCTCATGCGAGCAAGTTTTCCATTCATCAGGTGCGACCAAGATGTACCATGACCTCAAGAGGTACTATCATTGGGTCGGGATGAAGAGGGATGTAGCAGACTGGGTTGCGAAGTGCAACACTTGTGCCTTGGTGAAGGCAGAGCATCAGGTTCCGGGTGGTCTTTTGCAGAGTTTACCCATTCCAGAGTGGAAGTGGGACAGGATTACGATGGATTTCGTGGTTGGACTACCTGTTCGAGGACTTTCGATGCTATTGGGTGATTGTGGATCGGTTGACGAAGTCCGCACATTTCTTGGCCATCAAGAAGACAGATGGATTTGCTGTTTTGGCTGGGAAGTTTGTGCGAGAGATTGTGAGGCTGCATGGAGTGCCAGCTAGTATTGTGTCAGACCGTGATCCCAGATTCACTTCAGAGTTTTGGAGAGCTTTTCAGGCAGAGATGGGCACTAAGGTGCATTTGAGTGCAGCTTATCATCCGCAGACAGATGGTCAGTCAGAGAGGACTATTCAGACTTTGGAGATTTGCTGAGAATGTGTGTGTTGGATTGGGGTGGCCATTGGGCAGATCACCTGAGCTTAGTTGAGTTTGCATACAACAACAGCTTTCAGGCGAGTATTGGCATGGCTCCATTTGAGGCTTTGTATGGGAGGCCATGTAGGACACCCCTATGCTGGACCCAAGTGGGGGAGCGCAGCATGTATGGAGCTATGATGATAGGTTTTGTGTGTGGATGTGAAATGATATGTAATGAGATGTGGTGGAATGCAACAGTGGTATATGATGAGGTGGTAAGATGCAAACACAAACACAGTCAACAATTCCCTTTAACCATGATAGTCATTATAGCATAGGGTTATCAATCCAAAATGGGAGAACTTGTCACTCTATGAGAATATGAAACAACCAAGAAGTCAAGCAAGCAGTAAATGATATGGGGTAACACTAACAACCTAAAAATGAAATGCAATGCATAAATAGAAATAAAAGCAGTAGAGCAACAGCTCGACCAAGGACTCGAGTCGAGTTGGAACAGAGTACCGAGCTCGATCGAGTTTAGGGTCGAGTTGAAAAAAAAGCAATAAAGGCAGCGACTTTAACAAGCTAATGCGAGAATTAGGGTTCAAGACAGGGTTTTGCAATAGGGGAAGCTACACTTAATCGATCCTGCTCTTAAAACTCCTTGTATCAAGGCTTCTCTTGATATTGGGCTTCTCAATGCCTAGCCAACCCTTTCCCAAGGTGAGGCTATCAACCAAGGAATGATCTCAGAAACAGGGGGTTAGCCAGTGAGAATCAAACCTTGGAGGCCATAGGATCATTGCCCAAACTAATCCATCCAACCCCTTGAAATCCATTTCGAGAGCAAGAGTTATTGGAGCTCTTAGTGGATATTTTCCAGCGATTTCCATCACTTCCATGTGGAGAATCGCCTAATGACATACAAGCCAGGGGTAGTGGTCATGTAGCCTTAAGATTTATCCAAAAGAGAGAGAATCTAGATTAAGACCATAAGCAAGAAGGATTAAGCATATGAAACCCCTAATCTATCCCATCTCAAACCCTAATGGGAAACTACTCACTACACATGAATGTAAACACAAGCAAATGCAATGAAAAAGACATCATAAGAAAGAGGAGATAAAGGTAAACAACTTTTATTGAAATAAGCAAGTGCAAATACAAAAGAGATTATCCAGGATCTAGGATTCAAGAAGCAAGAGCTTCAAGAACACAAAGATGGGATTAGATCTCTCAAAATTAAAAGAAACTAAAACAAAAAGTAATCTAAAGCTTGGTGGTTTTTTCGTGGCTTTTAGCCTTAAATACAAGAGGATTAGGTTTAGGGTCAAAGGAAAGTCAAGGGGGAAGCAACATTTTTCGGGTTTGACTGTTGACTTCTCAGCTCGATCGAGTTGAAGCTTGGCCGGTCGAGTTGAGGAACTCGACCGGTTGGTCGAGTAGTTGGTCGAGCTGGTCTTCAAGATGGCTTCCTCCTTCTTCCTTTGCGTATCCAGTTGAGCTGCGTCCATGCGCCAAGTCCCTCCATGCTCCTCACGTCCCATATGCTCCAGAATGCTCCAAAAGACCTATTTCAAAGGACCAAACATGCATATGTATGCAAATGCAACCTAAAACTACTATGAATGCATAAGAAGAGAAAAGGAACAAGATATGATGCTAATGGATGCTAAAACTATGCAAAAGATGCATAAAAGATGTACTAAAACTATGTAAAATGCAAGTACATCAAGCTACTTATGTTCAGGAGACTACAGAGAAGGTCCGCGTAGTGAGGGTGAACATGAAGGAGGCTCAAGATAGGCAGAAGAGTTATGCAAATAGACGCAGACGAGAGCTTAAGTTTCAGGTGGGAGATAGAGTTTATCTCAAGATGGCTATGTTGAAAGGTCCAAACAGATCCATAGCAAAGAACAAGTTGAGTCTGCGTTTTATGGGGCCGTTTCCAGTAGTGGAGCGAGTTGGGCCATTGGCTTAGAGGCTAGAGTTGCCTGAGATCATGAAAGCCTTTCACAAGGTTTTTCATGTGTCGATGCTGAGGAAGTGTCTTCACCCTACAGAGGAGTTAGTGGCTAGGATTCCAGAGGATCTTCAGCTAGATTTGACAGTGCCGGCAGTGCCTATGAGGATTTTAGAGAGGAGGGAAAAGGTTCTGAAGAACAAGAGGATTCCCTTACTGAAGATTTTGTGGGATTGCAGTGGTTCCACAGAGGAGACTTGGGATCCAGAGGCAAAGATGAAGTTGAAGTTCAGGAAGTGGTTCGACAAGCAGGTCGAGGAGTGAGCTTATTTCATCTTTGTAGCTTCAGTTGTTGTTTTGGCTTTGGTGTTATTGTATTTTCGTTTTCGTAGTAACGATATACATTTTGGAGTTTTGTCTTGTGTGTTTTAAGTGGTGTTCGGATGTTACAAGTGTTTGACCAGTTGGTCGTGAGATAGTTCTAATTCTATTGTTATAGACGTCTTGGAAATTTTACTCTAAGGATTGCGATCTTGAATAATTCATTACGGTTTTGGAGATAGTGGTTCTCCGGCAGACTCATCTGAGTGTAGTGGCCTCAGTATGAGTGACTTAGCTGAGTGTAGTGGCCTCAATATAAGTCGTGGCTGACTTATTTGGGTGTAGTGGCCCCAGTATAAGCAGCGGTTGGCAAGCCCAGGGTGTAGTGGCCCCAGTTTGGGTAGGTGCAGATTTGTCTGGTGTAGTGGCCCCAGTACAATGATTTGAGGTGATGAGTTAAGAGTAAAGATGTCTAGAGACGGGCGTGTAACATAAGATTAGACGTGAGTCTCGGGGATCAGGTGAGGATCTCCGGTTTTGTGGCCTTGCGAGGTCGGATCTTTGTGGTCTTTGTGACGTTTGTGTTGGGATTCGAGGACGAATCCAGTTTAGTGGGGGAGAGTTGTAACATCCGTTAACCTGAGAAGTGGAAATTTTTGTTGGTGTCGAGCGACACAAAGAGTTTGTGTCGGTCGACACCTGTTATTTGAAATCGCAGTCA